CTTTCTTTTCAATTATTAATCTGTAGTATGTAAACCTCAATTAATTTTTTTTAACTGGTAAAAATTTTTCCTTTTTGAGACAGTTTCACACACTCGAGCTGGCTTGATATTCATTACATTCACTGAGGATAGCTTCTTCCTGCCTCCTGCCTTTCAAATGAGTGCTGGGTTCACAGATGTGTCCATCATACTTGTTTTTATATGGTATTAGCGACTTCCTGTATGTGAGGCAAGCATTCGTCCAACTGAGTTACATCACCAGCCATACTTAAGCTAGCTTCCTAAGTCTTTACACTTAGCAAAAAATAGCAGTGTGGGAAATCATACATATATGTTGGTGATATCAGTGTGCATAGAAGAAAAATGTGCTCTGAAAAACTTCAGATCTGTCACCAAGAGAGAGACAGACAGAGAGAGAGAGAGAGAGAGAGAGAGAGAGAGAGAGAGAGAGAGAGAGAGACAGAGAGACAGAGAGACAGAGAGAGACAGAGACAGAGACAGAGAGATTGGTTGGGCACTGAGAGCTCCATGCTGAACTCACCCAACAGACTGTAACCATAACAGTGCATCCTGTACTGAGGAGATTGAACCCAGTGCCTAGGATATAACATAAGTGAGGATCGAAGAGACTGTGCAAAACTGAACTTTTTTTTCCTCCCCAATCCCTCAATTACATTTTTATGTTTTCATGCATTAGCAAATTTACTGGTCATATTTTTAAATCTTTATGTTATGTGTATGTCTTACTATTTCTTTGGAAGTCACACATGGTGTTCTTTCCAACTAGACATAGATTTTATATATTGCAATAGAATCACCTAGTGCTCATTTTCCCAAATAACTGCTTTGAGGATAATATCCAGAAAATGATTTGACAAGTGACGTCAACTCATAACTTTTCAGTTCTAATGTTTGCAAATTCCTGATCCTTTAATGAGTCTATGTATTTCCTTCCATTTAAATTCCAAAACTTTCATTTGTATGCTTGACCTGATATGTTTGGTCTTATCTTCATTTTGGATTAAACTTTCTTAAAAAATATAGCATTTTCTTACATGTATATGGGTTTTTGTCATTTACAACACAATGTCCCTATCTCACTCTACCCTTTGGCTGAGACTGTACTTTCTAGGTCCCTTTATTATATTCTTTTCTTTTTCTTTAAACATATGAAGATTTAATACAAGACTTGTACATTTAAATCTTTTCCATATCACTGTCTCTGAAACTCTTAGTATACACTCACCCTTCTCCTTTCAAATACATTATCTCCATACTGTTATTGTTATGTTTATACACACAATGATACTGATATATTTTATATAAATATGCCCTGTTTAATCCATTTGTTGTAATCTAATAATCTGGTAGCTGGGTTTTATATAGTTCCTGCTCAAATTTCCCTATTCAAATCTCAGAATTGATCTGCCAGTCTAACAGGTGATGAGCTCTAGAATAAAAGATAGTCTCTGTGTCACCGAACTTAAGCTGGAAATTAGATAGCATAAGAGATTTGATGCTCACTTTGCCTGCATAGTCCTGAGTCCATATACCAAATCCCTCTCACATCTATGATCATATACATAAATATATTTAAGTTTTCATTTGAAATACCACCTTTCATTTCAACAATCTATATTGAACCATATCCAAATGACTTCATGACAACTAATTGTTCAATGTACAAAATATGAGGGAAAGTTGAAGTTCTCCATCGCTACCTTTCAATCTGTGTATTTTGTCGATGTTACCTATTTTATAGATATTCTTTATGATTTTTAAGTCAGTTTTACAATAGAGTAAATACTAATGTATCTTCAATATGGATGGTATCCATGTTTTTTTTTTTTTCTGAGACAGGGATTGTCTGTGTTGCTTTGGAGCCAGTAGCTCTTTTAGACAAGGCTGGTGTTGAAATTACAGATATCCACCTCTGTCTCCCAAGTGCTCATATTAAAGGTATGTACCAAAACTACTAGCTTGGATAGGATACTTTTAATCTTTGAAAAGCTTTGAGAATTAGCCTCTTAAAGTCAATACATTGTGACATTTAAATATATAAATGCATATTAATAGTAATCTTAAATAAATGTTTATAGTGTTAAAATAATCATATTTATTTATCCCCATGGTGTTCATTTATATCATATATTGCTTATATAGAGTCTGACAGTGCCACTTAATAAATTTGCATCTAAGCACTACAGCCATGCTTCCTCTCTGCATCTTAAGAAGCTGACAATGGAGGAGACCACTTCTCTGAGCTTATGGTATTGTAAAGCCAACTGTTTACTCATTTCATTTGGATTGTTAATTACTCATAATTAGACTGAAATTCATATTTAGTTACAATCTGGAATTTTCTAAAGTTATTAGACCTAAGTACATTACTGGATTACTGACTGCTTCACTTGACACCAGGTTATGTCTTTTCACAAAAGTAATAAAAATGTTGATTGTATGATTTGCACATGTGCTACTTCCTTACATAGTAATGTCATACTTTCTGTAGTTTGGAGAGTTTTATTTTGATTATTAAGTCATATATCAAAAAGATTGTAGTATGAATTTTTACCTTAAAAGAGGCAAACAAACCCACAAACACAGATACTAGCAACCTCATCACAGAGGTAAATGACATAGAATGGACAATATTATGATTCAAGAAACACATACAATAGACAAACCTTCCCTAATGTGATATCCAGGGTATGGAGGATACAGTGATGAGCTCCTCATTAGATGACAGGTAGATCTCATTGACAAGCATTAAATTTATGAACATCTATAACCCTGGTGAGTCTCACCCAGATGACCTATTTACAAAGAGTTTTCACATACCAAATTGACAGGTATTTGCCTTTACAGCCATCCTGCTTGAGAATAAGATATGAGCAAATTCTCCAGTTTTAATCAATATTGAATGAGGCTATGATTTTCACTAACTGACTTATCATGAAATACTAAACAACATTCCTGTTTCCATGTCCATGAATTGAGTTGGTAGAAGATCTGGTCCACACAGAAATGTTTATGAATATAGGGATGAATCATGTTCTGTTGTTAGTGCAGACCATGTGGTCTGCATACAATCCAATCTTTAGAATATACAAAAAGGTGGAACAAGGCAGCATTGGACACGATCTTAAGTTTTATGAAATAATATGTAGTGAGGCTTTATATTTGCAGTGTATATTAGAATTTATTTACAATTGTTTAGTTCTTAACAAGACTTTACACCAGCATATATTTTATGAAATCCTGATTTTCTCTCTTCAGTGAATATTTCATGCACATAATATTACTTTTTTATTTATATTATCTGTTTTGACATTTATTATTTTTTCTCAAGTGTATTGTGATAAATTCTTCCCTTTCTGGGCTCCATATACTTCCTTTTCATTACACTACCCTACCTAATTCATGTTATTTCTCTTCTGTCTTTAAAATAATGAAATGAAAACAAAGATAAAAACTAGCAAAACAGAAACTACCACAGTAAGACAAAAATGCATGATAAACAAAGATAACATGTTATGTTGGCAAACAACTCATGCATGGAGTCAGTGCTAGAATGGGCTTCATATTCTCAGCAACACTGTTAAAAAATCTGATTGTCCTTTCCCCAACTGATATAAACTACAAATAAAGTCTTGGTTAGGAGTTTCTTTTTGTGTTCACAAATTTTAATAATGCTGACATTCATCTGGTTTGAATTTGTGTCATTCTTTTTTGTACCTCTTACATTCTAAAATATTTGCATATATAAGAGTAATTTTAATGCAATCCCCATACATAAAGGAGACAATTCCCTAGCTAGACAACTTATGTCACAAAGTAATACCCTAGTTGCATGAGTGTATTTTATATTGGGCACCAATTATGTCTAAAATTTGTGGCTTATAGTTATTAATCATTATGGAATAATACAATTATATATACTTGCCATCCAATTGCTTATTCTATTAGGCAATGCTCTAATTTTGTGGATGCATCTTCCACATTACAAATAGAAGCTACTTCTTCACAATACTCAAGTCTACTTAACTGATCTGAAATATCATAAGTCATTCATATGTGTCTTGGATCTATAAAGACTCTAATACTGTCCTTGTTATGGTCCAAGATTTGCAAAATGATGACAACTAAGGCAAGATGACACATACATCAAATTTAGTTAGACATTTTGTAACAGTGTTATCCACATTTTTGACCTCAACAAATCATTGTGGTAAAGAACAGACTAAATATAAAACTGAATGTCATAGGAGAATATCTACTGCTCTATTATTGTAAGAAATTCTAAAACATATATTATTGGGAAATAAATTGAGTATTCTTTAGTAATTGACACATGTGTGGTATGGATCATATATCAGAGTTCTCCATAATTCTTTTCCTATTACATTATTAGGGCTCACTGGGAACAACAGAATATTTTGCATTTTTAAAGATTTCACTCTAGTATTAGAAAACTACAATCGATAATTAAAGATGTCAGTCTAAAACTTCAGGGATGTTTAAAATTTTTACATTTTTAAAATGTATGTCTTAATTTTCTTTTCCAAAACCTCCTATACATAACAGCTTGCTCAATTTCATAATCATGGTCTCCTTATAGATTGTTGTTACATAGATGTATGTGTATGTACACACACACACACACACACACACACACACACACACACACACACACACCCACACACCACCCACGT